TATTAATAGTGTGCTTATCAGATAATTCCATCTATTGCTTCTTCTTGGTAGTATTTTCTTACTTTGTTTGGCATTTTAAATACATAATTTTATACTATGATTTTATATTTTATTTCATTGTAATTTTTAGGTTATCAGCGCACGAAAAGGTGAATTTGAAACAGGTTTTGATCGAGGTGGTCAAACACGTGAACATGCTATGTTGGTAAAAACTGCTGGTGTGAAATTTCTTGTTGTATTAGTCAATAAAATGGATGATCCAACTGTAAATTGGGATGAAGAAAGGTAAAATTCTATGCTTGTTTGATAAATAGCTTGCTAAAATAGCAAGCCTCATTCAGTCATTCAGTACAGTGCGTTTTTTTACAGGTACAAGGAAATTCAAAGCAAACTAACTCCATATTTACGCAAATGCGGCTTTAGTCCGAAAACAGATATTGTATACATTCCTGTTTCGGGTTTAACTGGAGCGTTTTTAAAAGATCGGCCTACTTCCGAGTTTGGTTCTTGGTACACGTAAGTTTGCTTATTTTAATTTTTAAAGACTGTCATTTGTGAAGCTTTCTGATAAAGAAGGTAATAAGGATTTTCTAGTGTTGAAAGTTATTCAGTAAGGGTCCACAGTGATAGTTTGCAGAGGCCCATGTTTTATCGAATATATTGATTCTATGTTACCGTCATTCAGTCGTGATTACGATGGACCGGTGCGTGTGATCATTGTGGATAAATACAGTGTAGGCTGTTCTTTTTGTCTTTGTGAATTGATTTTTTATCGTTAATCTTTTCTGTTACTTTTCACTTGTCTAGTAAAAGTAGCGAAATTAATATGTGGTTGTTTTAGGATATGGGCACCATAATTATTGGAAAGATGGAATCTGGTGTTGTTGTGAAAGGCCAGACGTTGACAGTTATGCCAAACAGGGTTCGTGTACTGTTTCTTGAATGTTGTAGCATTTTTTTCTTGCGGATTTTCAAATCAATCTCTTTACAAGGATTTTTTAATTTCAGACAAACATTCAAGTGATTCAGTTGTGGTCAGATGATGTGGAAGTTGATAAAATTGTTTCTGGTGATAATGTAAAACTGAAATTAAAAGGGATTGAAGATTCTGATATCTTGCCTGGTTTTGTCTTGTGTAGTCCGGAAGCGTTATGTCACGTTGGAAGAGTTTTCGATGCGGAAGTAAGGCTCTTGTCTTTCAAAACAGTTTCTCCAATTTGGTTGACTCTTTTTGCTATAATTTCTTTATTGCCAAAAAATCGTTACCACTGCAATGTAATTCACATTAACAGTGCTTGATAATGAAAGCACCTGTAGGTAGTCATTCTCGATCACAAATCAATAATCGCATCTGGCTACTCTTGCGTGTTACATATTCAGTCGGCAACAGAAGAAGTTGTTGTAAAGGTTTATATTTATCAATAATTTTAATATTAGACTGCAAATTCTCACCATCTGAAAGTTGTAGAATTTTAAATTCAGAGCTACTGCTTAAGCATTTTAAGAATGGGATTCGCAGTAATAGTACTTTTCTGTACCAAATTCGGAGTACGCATTTAGGACCAAATATAAGCAACTGGAGTTAATAGGCAGTACCTATCAATTTCACCACCAACCTATAGGAAGCGAAAATTTCTCGATGGCAGTTTCTTCTTTTCGTATTTGAGTTTCAAACGTGATTCAAAGTGACTGTGAAAATCCTTTTGCAGGCTGTGATTTGCACAATTGACAAGAAAACGGGGAACAAAGTAAGAGCACGATTCGTAAAACAGGATGAAAAGTGTATAATGCGACTAGAAAGTTCTGAATCATTTTGCCTTGAACCATTTAAAAATTTTCCACAGATGGGCCGTTTTACATTGCGTGATGAAGGCAAAACAATAGCAATTGGAAAGGTACTAAAAGTTATAGAGTAGTTGTTTCGTGCATCCTCCATAGATTTCATTTCTTCCTTCTATAATAAATATAAAAATTTGACTTCCTTATAGCCTTTGATATCTCTACTAAAAATTTTGTTTTTTTTGTTATTTATTGTTTGTAGTTTGAGTTTAAACCATAAAAGAGTTAAAACGAATTGAGCCGAAAAGTCTTGGTTATGTACCAGACTCTTATTGTTATGGTGGAAGTTCAAATCATATTTTCATATTTTCAAGGAAAATACAGCTCTGTTGTTTGAAAATTTCAGATATTTGATTTTGTCAAAAAA